CTGCGAACCTTGCTCCCTTCCCGGGACCTCTGGCCGCACTCCTGCACTGCAGCTATGTCGGCCAAAGGCCGCAGCTTACTCTGGGCTTCCGAAGGCGACGTTAGACACCCACGGCCCCGCCCGCAAACGTACCTCCAGGCCGTTTGCGCGCCTGCGAACCCCGCTGGGGGCCGCAAACCCTCCTGAGGTGCGGACAACCTCTGGCCGCACTCCTGCACTGCAGCTCTGCCGGCCAAAGGCCGCAGCTTGGCCCAGAAAGCTTTTTCTTTGGGCTTTCGAAGGCGACGTTAGACACCCACGGGCCCTGCCCGCAAACGTCCCTGCAGGCCGTTTGCGCGCCTGCGAACCCCGCTGGGGGGCCGTTTGCCCGCCCGCAAACCCTCCTGAGGTGCGGACAGTGCCGTCTGCCAGGCGTCAAACCCTTCCCGGGGCACTCCTGCACTGCAGCCTTGCCTGGCGTTTCGAAAGCGCCCGTTGCTTGCCCCGCGAACCTTCCTCAGGTGCGGACAGTGCAGGCTTCAAACCGTTCCCGGGACGTTTGGCCGGTCTGGACATACTTCTCTTGAAGGTGCGCCTGCCCGATGCAGGCTCACACGTCTCCACATGCATGCCACCGACGCTTCGGACATTGTTTTCCCGATGGCGTCTTGTGTGTGGCGTGAATGCGCCCAGACGACTGCGCTGACCAGACCACAGTCTGGCATGCCGGGCACCTGTGCGGATGCTGCCGTGTCTGCGCGCTAACAGCGCCGTCTTTTGACATAAAAGTTGTTGCCGCACACGGTTCCGTGATTTATTCGCCCTGTTTTCACTTTACTCGCAACGCTCCCTTGGCAAAATGGACAACCATAGACAAACTCCCTGGCGGCAACGTGTCCGTCTTGGACACGAAAGCGATTCCCGCATGCACGGCGGTGATCTATGTCCCCTGTGCGCACGGTGCTTCTCACGGATGCCTGACACACCGGGCAGACATATCGGAATCTTTCCTGGCCGGCCTTCTGTCCAGCCAGCTCTACTGTATCTTCGGGTGGACCTCGCATCTGGTCAGTTCCCTCTGCCCTCGTCCGTTTTTGCTCTGTGTGCCTATTGTTTCTGACCGACTCGTGCTTTGCACGCTTTGCTGCTGGCTCTTCCGACGCTGCTCGCGTCGTCGCTGTGCGGGGCGGGGTCTTTGTCTCTGTCGGCTCTCCTTGCTTCTCCGGCTGTGTTTCCATCTGTTGCGCACGGTCAGCGATCTCTTCCCTGACAAGGGCTATGACTTGCTGTCTCTTTTCCTCCGCTACCTTCGTCTGCCATGCAGTCGCACGGCGTATCGCTTGTCGAATCACGCTTCTTCGCAGCCGGAATCAGAGCACAACGGAATCAGAGCAGGAATCAGAGCCATTTCTGGGGGGTCGGCGGCACCAGGGCGGAGCCCTTACTATATATACATATGTACAGACATATGGGAGTTGATCTAAATTCCTTTATCCGGGATCCGTCATTTTCGCCAAAAAAACATTTACTTTCGCCAAACTTTCGCCTTCCTGCGTTTTATCTTTCGCCGAAGTACGTTGTATTTATGTGTGCCATGTATGTTGTGTTTTGTTCACGTCAATGGCTTCTTCTTTACTGGCAAACACAAAATAGAAACTTCACTGTTTGTCAGCATGTGTCTTCTACTTAACTGTTGACACCCAGTACGTCTCTTTTGTTTCTCCTGGGTGTCAGCAAGAATCAAAATTGCAAGAATCACTGTAGTAGCCGGTCACTCAAACTTACTCATAATGGGCTGGGGGTCAGATGTGGCAGGGTGAACTTTCGCCAATCTTGAGCTGAACTTTCGCCAAACTTTCGCCTTTTGCGGTGTAGAGTTTTGTGGCAAAGCCACCCCCCAAAGCAGGAGCAGGAATAGTAGTAGTAGTAGTAGTAGTGGTAGTAGTGGTAGTAGTGGTAGTGGTAGTGGTCGTGGTCGTGGTCGTGGTCGTGGTCGTGGTGGTGGTGGTAGTGGTAGTGGTAGTCGTAGTCGTAGTAGTAGTAGTAGTAGTAGTAGCAGCCGCAGCAGCAGCAGGTTATCTAACTTCCACAGCTATCTAGCTTCTGAGTCACTGCCACCAGCTGTTCAGAAAGCAAATGAACATTCATACAAAAGTACATATTTAATCTTTCGCCAGATCTTTCGCCAAAAAAAATTTACTTTCGCCAACTCGAGAAAAAACTTTCGCCAAATGAGATTTTGATATGTTCCGGGTCATCGTCATACACACTGCTGACTAGGACCTTTAGATCGACAACCATATGGGTCTTCTGGGTCTTTTGAATTTTTGCTCTAATTGCTGCACTCTCTCCTTCAACTCTCTCTCTCCCTCTCTCTCTCTCTTGCTTTGGACTTGAAGGCATCGTCAGCAATGAGATAGCTGCATGTGTTCATGTATTCATATTCCGCGATGGACTGCATGACTTCCATGACTATGACATGTGCTTGAAAATATGTCTTTGACCTTGGCCATTGCTTTTATCATCTGTATACGGTATATGTGTTTCTTCTTCTGGCTGTGAGTCAAAATCCAAAAACCTTCGTTGACCACCCAACAATACTTGCGATACGTCTGCCGCGACCAAAAGGCCCCCAAATGAAAAATAGAGACTACAAGAGATGTCAACCGTCCATGTTTTGGTGAGGGACCCATTGTCATATTCTTAAAATGCGGTTTACTTCTACCCAGAACTTCCAACGTCGAAGTTTAACTTAGCCAATGAGAAACGTTGAAGTTAAACTTGTACACCTCAGTGCGTCTAAGTTTTACTCATGTTAGTTGTCTTAAACAGAACAGACTCCGCAGAACGACGAAGTTTAACCTGGTTAAACATAGACAGAAACAACGTCGATGTTAAACTTAGCCTTTGAAGATTAGGGTCTATACTTCAGCAAATGTTTGTACTTTCAGCCGTGTCCATGTGCTGGTGATGGCTACTGTATCAGAGTCTATCATCCTCAAACTTGGCTCTTGGAACTCTCGCGACTCATTTGGTGTGTATGTAATACATCGTATGTGCAATCAGGTTCATGACTTTGCCAATTTACACCTGCAACCCTGTCCAATGTCCAAATTCAGACGTTCACTGGTCTGGTCAGCACCTGCGTCCTCTAGAATGTAAAATAGCACCTTTGGTTGTATACATAGCTTCTACCAACATGTGGTTTCAAACGTTGGTCTGCGATGTCCTGCTGATGCAGCACTTCTCAGAACCTATATAGCCAATGTAGCCATCCCAATGCTCCAATTGCTGCTCTTCAAAACACCATTAGAGTCATTAGAGTCTTGACACAAAACGACCTTCTATACTGGCCTTGGGTCCCCGAGAAATCCGCACCGCAACAGCTGCTTCAATTTACAGTATATAGTGCTTGCATTGTGGCTTCAGCCCCGCTTTCTGCTGGTGTCACGTGCCTGCATATCTGAGGATCTCCAGTGCTGTCAAGGGCGCTATCCGGCACAGATTGCTGCATGGTTTAAAGTTCAAAATGTTTGAAGTAGTTATATATGTTGTGTTTGTTGACATTCTTGTACTGGTACTGTGACTAATGACCCTCTAGTGGAACTGAAAGCAAGGTGTACAAGGACTGCGGCCAAGCAGAAACTATTTGGAAGTGTTTGCTGGGCTAAGAAGCCAGCACTCTGAAGGTATTTCCAAGGATCTGAAGTGCTAAAGCTAAGATGCCAGCACTCTGCACGGAGAGCCTGCAAAATATCATCTGACGAGTCTTTGCCCAAGTTTGGAAGTTCAAAGCCTGCTCCAAAAGTGGTCGAGACTCTCGTCCCCATGAGTGCCTTGAAAGGACAAAAGATCAACTTATATACTGGTCAATTAAAATTAAAATCTGCCACAAGCAGGAAACAGAGTCTGAAAACACATCCTCCCCTTATTTTCTACCCTACCCTGCCGTGTTTCACGGCACTCTGCCAGCTGCCTTACGCCGTTCGTGGATGATCTGAGGCATCTGCCCTGTGGCTGCAACACTGCACATGGAAGTGGCTTCCTGGCTTCAATGTGAGCACTCACTTTGTCAAGGACTATATGACCAACTTAGGAGTCGCCTGAGGGCTACCTGCGTGTCCTAAGCCAAACACATATTGCGCCAAACATTGAAATCATGGTCCGAATAAAACCTCAGCCACTCCAGCTCGGTAAGACAGAATATTGCTAGGCTTGTGGCTCCAATCTCCCATTGGGGAGGTTCGCTGCAATGGAGGAGAGTAAGCAGGCACTTGAGACCTTCAAGCTAGAAGGAACGTAACACTTGCTGCGTACAAAGAAGTCTTTGGTTTGTTACTTTAAGTGTTTATTGTCTTTGTCCTCGTTCTTTAGACCTGTCCTCCTTTTCCATTTTTCCTATTGAAACAGAGTTTCAAGCAGAATATGTATATACTTGCACTTTGACAGCTCTGAGCTTGTGAAGCACCTAGAGATGCCTAGGGCCATTGCTGTGCCGTGCTGCCTGGCATATCACATGAACTCTCATGGATAGTAATTTGGCTCATTGGCTTGCCATAGGAACTGCAAATGCCAAAAGCAAAGCTTTGTGAACAGCCCTTGACGAGGTACTGTCCAGAGTTGAAGTTGCGTTGCCCTGCTTGACTCAGGCCGATTCAAAACAGCCAGTTTGTTTCATTGAGGCCAATGCTAGGCTAAGTTTACTGTAGGACCAAGGGACGAGGGGACCAAGGGATTAACGGACCAAGGGATTAACGGACCAAGGGACCAGCTGATTAGGCAATTATTTGTTTGATTGTGTGTTTGATTTGGATTTTTTGCTTTTTGAATGTTTTTGATCCCTATGCCTGCCTTTGCAGATTGCTGTCCGAACCATGTCCAAATGACAAATGTCAGAAACCTTTCTGTCTGCGCGGCTTCATTGACAAACGTCTGTCTGAGAAGACTCAGAGACACACTCTATAGCTACAGCCACCTCAGCAGGTCCTTGCCGCTCAGCTTTGTTAGGCCTCAAGCTTTATTCTCTGATGGTCACCTTACATGACAACTGATGAGAAGAGGGGACAAACCCTAGAGCGCTTGCTGAGTCCATCAGTGGCCTCAAGAACGGCAAGACTGATAGTGATGATGTCAAAAAGTAGATATATTTATATATACATAAGCTTGGACGAGCAGCTGGATCAGACCCCAAATACTCATCTGCACCAACCACAATGTCGCCAAGAAATCTGCGGATATCCTTCAATCCTTCTAAATGGCCTGCACGTGAGTGGTCACGGTGCAAACCCTCTCGATCTACAGCACGACGTACGGCACCATCCTTGCCTGCTCGTCCATTAAATGAGGATATTCCAGACCCCACCACCCGTGTGCGGAACATGCTGTAAAAGGAATCAAGTGCCTCAGAGATTCGTGAAATGGCATAATGCAGCAGTTCTTAGTTTTAATCAATCGTTCCCACAGGAAACTCTCCACTTCTGTGCCGCACAACTTTGGAGGTACCAAGATGCAGTAGCCATTACACAGTAGTCCTTCTCCAGGGCCGTGCATGTTTGATCCAAGCAATTGAGAAAGGGTGCAACAGTGCAAGAACACAATTTGAACACTTAATAGTAACAAGAAGCTACTAGGGGCTGCTGGCCTTATTACCAGGAGCAAGGACGCTACTAGGGGCTCCTGGCATCGCTACTAGGAGCATTCTTACTACTAGTAACAAGAAGCTACTAAGCACGTCAGCTGATTTAATGAGCACACTACCGACTTCGGTCCGTATTAATGCCAGTGATCACCACCTCTTCGATTCCGCGCTCCCGCAACAGGATTTCAAGCTCTGCTCCTCCAGCGAAACAAGAATACCTGAGGAGACAAACACATCGAAAGCATACGTACAGTTAATAGCTCAATGTGCCCCAAAGAGGCTTTGAATCCCCAATCAGCTGACCTGCTCAGATCTACTCGAACAGTTCTCAATTGAGGTCTTGGCTGGTACTTCTTCACAAAATCCTTAGGAAACAACATGCTCTTGCCAAACAGCTTTTTCTGCATTCAGATCTTTGCAGGGGTTCTTCCTGAAACCCAAATCTGCACCGATCTCCAACCCATAAGCCTCAACAACTCCTATGTATTTATATATACATTTCCTTTGTTTTTCTGTTGTTGTTTTTGAGCCCATGGGCGGGGCCTGCCTCCTTACTTAATCAAGAGGGTCCTAGATATGGACGTCACACTAACGATTTGGTTTCTAGATGTTTAGGGAAACTTAACACACACATCACCTCTGTCCTATAGCATCTGGCAAGAGTCCAAACCGAGGTCGCAGAGTTCAGGAATTAGCTCTGCACCTGGTGTCCCTGCACGACCAACGTGTGGATACATTTCTGCAAGAGAGGATGGTGGACCACCTGCCACAAGTCATTTGTGCAAGACAAGCGAGATCCAGCATTCAACCATGCAGGCCTTTCTCAAACCACAGGTGGGAATCGATCTTTGTGTCCTTGGCAAATGGCACGCAGCTTCCTGACTGTGACGATAGCTTGTATTGGCTTGTGTGACTTTTGCTCTCTTAGGCGCTTAGGCGCTTGTAGACTGGTTAGAGGCTTATAGGCTTCGTTGATTTATCATGATTTATCCCAACCCCCCTGGCTACTGCAATGATATGATTGAGGGAGCACAGATTGGCTGCAGTCTTGAGGACAAGCTGCAAACTTCCCGCTCAGCGCCAGGTGCCTGATGGTTTGAATCATCTCATCTTTCTGAAAACTAATGTTCGCCACCTGAAGGAATCGATGCAAATGTCATTAAAAAAAAGTCCAAGTAAAGTCCAAGTACAAGCCTGAAGTGACTAATCTGGAACCAGTCCTGTTCAACAGTCATGTCAACCACCACCAACGCACGTCGCATTGCTTCACAGGGCGCCCTGATTAGAAGGATTAAAAGGGCAATGCGCATTATGCGCTTTGCAAAGCGGCAAACCCGCAGCTAGGTCAGAATAGACTTCAGGCTTGAGCCAAAGGTGTTCAGCAAAGCCTAAAGCTCACAGCAAAGTACATTTTGATGACAAATCTGCTGAGCACAGGCACATTGCACTGCAAAACGCTGCGCGCGGACAGGGCACACCTTCGCAGTATCCAGATCCTTTTGATGGGTTCCTCAACGTAGTTCTGCCATTCCGATAAAGCAAGTATTGGCATGGCGTTGGTGTCTGACAAGAGATGAAACCAAAACGAAAAAGCTCATTTCTGGATCTTATATTGTTTGTGTAGTCTCGCAGAAACACAAAACACTCTCTGGGCTAAAAGGACCCTCTTGTCCATCAATCTATGGAAAAAGGCAAGTCCGTCCCCAACCTATTTGCAACTGCGCCACAAGAGACTGTTGATGCTGTTGATCATCCCATCCTGGAAATTGCTTGCAAATGGCTGACATGCACTTTCTCATTTGCTCACACTTGGGGCGAAACTAAAGGTTCAAAGGTTCAAAACTGGTGTGCCAACGGCTAAGGTCAGCACAACAGACTCTATATCTGCGCGGGTTGACGCATCAAGAAAGTTGGACTGCCAGGCCATGCGCTGAACGATCTTTGCCTTACCAAGATCGCTTAAAGAAGGCCATCCTTGCACAAAGCCAGTAAACAAGCTGAAATGGCCTTTGAATGCACAGGCGTGCAGGCATGAGGCGAAATCTAAGAGCTACCAGTGACCATGGTGACCACTGCCCTTGACACAGCGCATGTTTGGACTTAAGATTCACCATTCTGTGCAGGAGCCACTCAGAAGCTGTCGTGGGTAAGATACTGGTGTCCCTTGCATTCGTATGAAAGCAATTCGGGAGGATGTTCTCAGTTCGCAATGTGCATATGCATCCTTCCTTGTTTGGGCGAAACAGCTATCTCCGTGCTGCAATGAACAATTTGAACGACATGAGAATGTGTTCTGAAGAAAGCCAGGTCCTTTCAACCTTGAGAGGGTGGACGGCTGGATCTCGATTCTCCCTCAAGACCAGGGCGCTCATCCGGCTCGAGTCTGCAAGACTGTTGGCAAGGATTGGACCAGGAATCGCGTTGAACAGCGCAAGGCTCACATTTTGACCAATGCATGCGCCAGACCTTTGAGTGCTTCTAGTACCTTCTGTGGTGAGCTAGAGTCTACAAATTTCTACAGTCTACAGGTTGCTTTTGAGCAACCAGCCACTCTCAGCAACTTTCTGCGCAACCACACGGACCAATGACAGGTCAAAAATGTCACGACCGCTGTCCTCACAAAGCTGTCGATGCTTGACTAGCATCTCCCAGTCTAAAAAGGTACAAAACAAAATAAACAAATGAAAACTTGCAATGAGAACTTGCCTCTCACCGATGAACAACAGTAGCATCCAACAGTCGTCTTGCTGGAATGGCCTTGCTTCGGATGTGGGTTTCCATGTCAATCCACACGACCGCATCCTTGTAGTTGGCCTGGCACACTTTTCTCTTGTTTGAACCTAGGGGCACAACCGTCGGCACTAGCAGCGGCAACAAACTAATAATATCATATATCTAATAATTTGAGTGAAGGTAGGCGGACAAACAGTTTGTAGGTAGGGGAGAGCCGGCTAGGCAAGAGAGGTTCCACCGGCAAACATGTTGGAAGTTCAAACCGGTCTTTGTAGTTGTGGCGACGTCTGCGAAGTTGTTTTTATTGTTTGAAATCTGACTATTTGTAAAAGGTTGGTCCTTAGGGTCCTTTTTTTTGGAGCTAAGAACTGACAAATCGGTTGACCCTTTGCACATGTTCTCCAAAACCGGTCATCATCATAGTGGAGCACTTCAGTTGAATTTGGTTGGTAAGCAACTTGGTTCTCAGCTCTTTGCTTTGCCTCGTTGAAAAAGGTTGCACGCGCTGTGTGGTTTGTTGAGTTCCCATGAACCAGAAACTGGTGCTGGTGCTGGTGGTGCTGCTGCTGCTGGTGCTGGTGCTGGTGGTGGCCCCGGTCCCCTTAGATTTTTGCACATACAGTATCTTCCAGCCAACGAAAGCAAGTCCATGATACGTTATGTATGCAATTGTATGTAAGAATATACATATATACATATATAATATATATATATATATATTTATACTTATATATGTATATACTTTTTGCTGTCCCCGCAAAGATCTACATAGACCTACCTTTCTTGCCTGCTGCACACATGTCTAATTCAATCTGATAAACAGACAGATAGGGTAGGATAGGATAGGATAGGCTAGGCTAGGCGAGGAGAGGAGAGGACAGTAAAAAGATAGATAGATAGATAGACAGACAGACAGACAGACAGATAGATAGACAGATAGAGAGATAGACAGATTATCGATAGATAGGGAGAATTTCGCGGAAGAGAAGGAGAGGCGGCTCCATAAAGGGGCGGCGTTGGCAGGGGTTTGTTGCAGTTTAAAGAGGTTTAGACACAATGCACATGCGCAGGAGCTGCCGGCGCATCCTAGGAATTCTTTTCCCAAAGCCGTTTAGCGCGCTTCAGAGTCCTCAAGAAGCTCAAGTCACACTTTAGTTGAATATTCTCTGCTTTTGGCCTTCTCAGCCAGCAATGTTTCATGTTCCTCTTCAATTTCTTGGAGGTGACCATTTCCATCTTCCAGCTCAGAAATGGTCGCTTTCAGCTCCGCAACTGTCTTAGACTTGGGGACCTGGGGAACTCGACGCAGATGAGGTCTCTCTTTAGGGACACACGCTGCAACTTTCACAGGAGCCGAAGACGATGAGGAGCTGTCGGACGACGTGTTGAGTCTGGCCGGTGTGACTTTTGTCTTGTCTGTCAGATGGATTTGGAAATTGTTGCGCTGCCCTTCTTCGGCCCTTGTAGGAGCTCGGCCAGAAGCGCATCGCCCTTCGATGCCTCGCTGCTCCATTACCCCTGCGCGCCGGGAATCAAGGGCAGCTTTTTCTGGACAGAGCTTATGACAGAGTAAAGGATATCCCGACCAAAAGGTTGACGACTTTTATGGGCGACGATGGCCCCTTCGATTTTTTTCGGATATAAGCTTCGGACACCTGCTCTTCTGGGTTGAAAGGCCAGCCTCAGCCAGCTTCAGTCTGATGAGCGCTTCACCGGTCTTCACATCCACATGGCCGTGGATAGAGAACAACATGACGACCAACAAGCACACGGACGACAAAGGAAAACGATTTAGAGCAGAACAGCTGCATTGCAACGCGTTGCAATGGATTCTCTTCATTGAGATTCTCCAAGCGCAGCCCCCTGCCAGTGCTCAAGGCTCGAGACTTCCAAAAAAGAATTCTTGAATTCCGTCCCAGGATTCGAGACTCAAGACTTCAGAAAACAGTTTTGTTGAATCCCGTCCCGGGCTCAAGATTCAAGATACCAGAGAAGAACTTCAAAAAAGAATGCTTGAATCCTGGGGTCCAGGCCTGGGGTTCAAGAACTCCTTTCTGAAATTGGAATGTTGAATCCCATTGCAAGGCGCTGCAATGGGGTTCTGCCAGCGCAGGGGGTTCTGCCAGTGCGGCGTGCGCATGAGATTTGCGCGCGAGCTCCTGATCACTGTTCGGAGGGACCAAACGATCGGGAGCATCCAGGTTGGAGGAAGCACGTCGGAAGCATCAGGAGAAACGCAGGGCAGAACCAGAAAGACCGACTGTCCGATCGACCTGCGCAATCAATGCATGAAGCCCAACCGCATCAATCCGCCTTTGTTGCTCCTAAATCGAGCGCCACTCGTGGTTTTTGTGTGACAAACAAAATGGATGGCCCTTTGTTTGATCCAAGGGCGTCCCTTTTGTTTGTCACGCGTAAATCATCAGGGGCGGTTGAATTTAGGAGGAACAAAGACTGTCATTGGGAGGGATCACGTCAAAGAGCTGTTGGAAAGCCTGCGCCCATCAATTCGGCAAAAGATTCGCCGATGTGCCCGTTTCGCGGTGTTTCGATTTGGCAACACACATTATATGGTGGGCCCCACTATAGGTCACAGGTCTCAAGATCGCAGTGTTCGCAGGGGGGGCACCTTTCCTGCTGTCAACAACTCTCACCCGCACCATGCAGGCGCATCGATGTTTAAGAAGCCTGTCCCTCTGCAGCTGTCGCCAAATGGGTCGGTTTGTCCTAGATTCAATTGATCTCGCGCAACACTCTGATGGAAGGTCTATCCAGAGCAAGCCCAGTTTTCGCCTGAGCATCACGATCCGGGGAGGCAAGGACAAAGGCAGCCTGTTCCTGGACAGCTGGGAGCAAGATCCATCTTGGGTTCTCTCGACGGCGCAGCGCTTCGAGAGACGGCCGAAGCCGAACATAATATATCCACCATTCGGGCATGTGCCCAGGGTCAAGCCTGACTCATCACAGCCACATGCAGAACATCGGATCACGGCTGCCGCTCATGCCTCGCAGCAAGAGCAAAGCCTGCGCCAAGAGCCTCCAAGCCACAGCAAAAGCTGAGTACGGGAAGTCCAACAAGCCCTGCCAGCCATGAGCGGAACCATGACTGGAGATCAATCAGCGGGGATCCTTCCAGACTCATCAGTGCCAGAGGTCGAGATTGTCGAGACCTTCTCGGAAGTCACCGAGATCATTGGTCAGTGGTCGCTTGCACATGGAATCAGCGCTGACACAAGTGATCGACTATATCTGCAGGGCCAATACAGGCTCAGCTGGCACCGGACCCTGCCAGCAAATTCGTACGACCTGCATGGGCAATGCTCCCGCCGAGTCACCAGCGCTCTTGGCGCTATCAGAATCACCGTCTGAGAAACAACGCCTCTATCAACTAGAGCATCAGGAGACCTGACGACAACTTCAGGCCCTCGCAGCACGGGGCTCCCGGGGCGCGATTGGACCCTTCACTTGTGTTCGAGGTCTGCGGCCGCTCGGTGTGAGTCCAGGCACTTCAACATGAGCCAGAGCATGTTTGAATCAAGCTTCAGTGCGGCGCATGGTCATCCTGGTCGTCACTGAATGCATCACCGTCCCAGGAACATTATCAACATTCTCGGGCTGTTCGGAAAGAAAGGTCTGGACAGGTGGCACTTGGAAATGTTCTATATTGAAGCCAGGTCTCCCGACAACGACACTTCCATTGGGAACAACCCCAAGTCGACCATCTTTAAACTGTCCGCCATCACCGAGTTCGATGCAACTTATGCAACATGCACAAATAGCTCAGGTTGACACGCGTTGAGCCGGAGAACATGGCAGTTCTGACAACGAGTTCTAAACTGTTCTATACCCCTCATTCCTTCACGGCCTTCGCCGCAGCCCAAATCACACACACACATCAAGTCTTAATTGGAGGGTCATAAACATGATAAGAACCCAGTTCTCAGAAAGATATCCCCAAAAGTTCGCCCGACTAGTAAAAGTTCATTTCCCAAGCCGAAGCAATGGTAGCCATCAAACGGTAGCAGGCAGTCGTGTGGTCAGTCTCGCAAACCACCAGAAAGCGCCACATCTTGGCCATACTCACAAGAAGGTGCGCCTGATTTGAGCTCTACCGACCAGCGCCGGAAGTCGGAGTTCCAGCCAAGAGATCCCTGCTGCGATGGACTCTCAGGACCTTGACTCTGTCTTGGGAAAACAACCAGACAGCAGTTCAACCCAGAAGATTCACGAAATTCTTCGATTTGCAGACAAAGTGCTACCCAGGGTTGGTCGTAAAGGAATCACTGAAGAACAGATCAGAGCTCGCATCCAAGAGGTATATTTCAGAAAAACAGATCATGTCTATGGGCGCAGGGGAACTGACCGTACGATGACTCCCACGGAAAAATGTTCAAACAAGAAGCCCCCAAGAAGTCTAATGTTGTTGTTGTTGTTGTTGTTCTTGAGATCAACCGGAGAAGCCAAGGTGGAAGCTGTATGGGAACAATGGCAACAACTACCCTCCAGAGAGCAAATTTGAGTGAGCCATCCATGACGAATCTGCATCACAATGTTTGGTAAGAACTGGTCTCAGGTCCCTCTCCAAGAGACATCGACCGAGTCCAGACAACCGCGAAATCTATCGAAGTTTTGCGAGAAACAAACAATGAAGGCAAGCAGTTTTTGATTCATCCAAGGAGTATGGTTTATCCACTGTCAAAGCACAAGATAAGTCCACGCCTCTTTATCCTGCCGGATATGCCCACAGCTCGCTGGAATCAATGGCATTCACGAATGAGTATTTCGACGAACAACCCAAACCTGCTTTTGGATCCAAGAAACAGACCAGTTTTACGTTCACAGGTATTGAGGGTCCAGACTCAAGCATAACCCTTTGTGCGCAAAATTCCAGCAGTTCCCATTAATCCGGATGGGAAGCAAGTCTGAGGAGAGCACCGTCAATGAAGAAGAGAGACAACAATTCAGGGGCCTCATTGGTAGCTTGTAATATGCAACACTAAACACCCGACCTCGAGTAAGGTAAGCCTGGAACAGTGGACACAGTGCTACAAGCCAACAAGGTGCTTCGTGAAGCCAAACAATATCATGATGTGTCCATCACATTTCAACCAATAGCAGCAAGGACTTTCGATTCATAGCCTTTAGGTGCATCACGTGCCTCGAAACATCGACCAGATTTGCACGCGGGCATGATCATCATGGGAATTATAAGCCATCTCAAACAACTGTGCTGCTCCAATCAGCCCACTTTCGTGGTGTAGTCTAGTAAGAAAATCCAGAAAGTAGCGATGAGCATGCTAGCCGCAGAGACAGCTTCGTTGGCCTCAACTTTAGACCAGCTGTCTTGGTTTCGCCTTTTCTGGGCCTGGATCATTCGGGCTGCTGTAACGCGGCGGCAAGCAGAGGAGAGTCTGAGTCTGCCTGACCTTCCAGACGCTTTGGCAGTGCCCACGATACAGCATGAGTCTGATACTATTGTGGCCGGTTGCAGGTCCCTTTATGACCTCACAACTTTCGGGTTCAGTTGCAAGCCAGCGCCATTAAAGAATTCCTTCAAGAAGGATTCAAAAGGCGTTGGGCTCACTCAGGCGCTCAGTTGGCAGACGCACAAACCAAGCGCGTGGAAAGTCATTTTTTGCGGTCAACTCTTAAAGAAGGCAAGCATTGCGTCACGGATGAGTCTGAAATTCTCAGAAGCCGTCCAAAAGCCAGAGATCGCATTAAATGACTACATGAGCAGCAAAAGAACCAACAAGCTATAAAAGAAAGTTGAAAAGCAATGTTGAATGTGTAACCAATGTCGGAGGATCACCAAGTACTGTACTTGTTCACTCCTCAGCCCATGGAAGGCTCAGGGAGCCTAGTGGCGGGCGGGAGAGCGGCCGTCGGCTTGAGCCATCGCGATATGGAAACAGTCAAGAAAAAGATTTCAGCAGAGGAGGAGCCCTGAATCTTTTTGTGGCTGTATTGGGCCTGACTGAGAAAGCATCGCCAAGGGGAACTTGACGGCATAACAAGCGAACCGTAGCAATTGTAGAGAGGAGATCTCTGAAAAGCCGGCAAAACGCCTGTAAATATATTACTTCTGAAGATTGGAGCAAAGTGCCAAGACTCACTTTTACTCAACTCCTTGCACCCATAGCTATGTGCGCCCTTAGTGTCAAGGGCTTAAGCGCCGGCCTAAGCAACAAGGAGCTGCGGAAGGCCTTCTGTACTGCAACTGCCGTTGCGTTCAGTAACGCAACTCACAACAATTCCAAATTCGAAGCACGAAATCACATTCAAATCGCATTCAATTTCCTGCCAATCACAATATATGATTGGGGAGTACCATAGATTTATAGTTATACATTATATATAGCTTTTTTGGGAGCCTGTGGAGGAAGGCCTCCTAAATGTGGCGTCCAGCTCATTTAGACACATGACATGGATATGTTGGGAAAACTGATTGTTTTGGAACACACAGCACAAAAGCGTGTCTTACATTACTATGGGGATAATTTGGACCACTCCGCCACGGTTTAAAGAAACGATTTGGTGCACACACCACCTGCACAACACAGGGTGGTGAGGGGGTGGGGGGTTGGGGGGTAGACTTTTGCCACCAACCAACATACCACTACCTGCGCCAACAAACAACTGCTGCAATCGCCCCCACCACGCACACGATAAAGATGATCCACTATCATAGTACGGCAGTTTCAGTCGTTGATTAACTATGTTGTCACTAGCTGGAAACCCTAGAAACCTACACCCAAACTTGATCCATCAAGGATAGGGAGGGAATGCACGAAGAAATAGACTGGAACACAATGCGCGCATTCTCAGTTGATCTCGATGTCGCGTTCCGACATGGTCCAAAATCCGCATTCCAAAACGAGGCGGCGACCCCTCCTAACGATCAAACCCAATCCAAACCTGTCCTTGAACCACCATCATCATTCCAATGTGGACGAGTCTCTGCCCACCAACCACTACACCAACAGCAACGATACAAGATGATACAAGTATCAGTACAAGTAACAACAGCAAATCGAGAGGAAGTAGTCAATACAATACAAGTACAAGCGATGGCCTCCAACCTAAAAGCAATGGCCCAAAATGTCTTTTAAATGATTAGCCAATGTTTTAGTAGACTCTCTTTGTGCCTCTCTTCGACTGTTTCTCGATCCCGGCCTCACAAGCACGGCTCATGGCCTCCAGCTGTGGCAGCACTGTCGAGGGGCCAAGGCCACCGGCAAAGCCAAAGCGACGAACACCTGACAGCTGGTGACTTACAGTAAAGTCAAAGAACCAGAAAGAAGAAAAGAACAGAACATATAGTCTAAAAAAGAAAGGTCTCAAGGATTCCAAAGAAAAAAGGAACACTGAAAAATGCTGGTGAGGTTTTTTTTCTAAAGTAAGCAGAAAGCGTCTTGTTGCCTTGGTGTCCTGTTGTTTTTCTAGGAAGAGGCTCAGAGATAGTGTCATCCATTCCAAGCTTCGTAGGGATCAA